TGCGATAAAGTAGTGCCTCAATCGTGACATTTGCAAGCGGATTTTTCGATCCAGTTCAAGGGGAAGGGAGAGGGGAAGGCTTGCCTCCTTCTATGGCCCAAAATCGGCGGACTAAAATGTCATTAAAATAGGTCGGTGTACTGTCGGCGTCGACATCTATGCCTACTGTGTAGTTATTATACATCCATGCAAGTCGAGGATTGAGTACTTTTTGATATTGTAAAACGGCTGCCACACTACATCAAGTTCACTAGAATGGTTCCGCGCAAATTCTCGCCTCCTTCTTTTAACACGCGATTAATACTGCAACGGGAAGGTACAGAGTAAAGCGGATCGAAAAGAACATCTCAGAAAGCGACCAGCTATATTTAGAGCCTGTGCACCCTGAAGCTGTGAAATTTGTAGTGTTTGAAATTGCACAGTTGTTGAATATGAGACACATATCGGTAAAGCAAAGAGTATTTTGTTACTAGAGTCACCACGAGAATATTTGCAATATCGCGTCCTTTCGCGACTCGCGCGCAGAGGCTAGTGACCTTCCTTCCAACCGTATAGATGAACTGTACTTATTTTCCACATTTTTTCTAGTTTACTCACTCTGTCGTGGTTTCCGTGGTACTGCCTTACCTGCTTTGAAGCCAGTTGCCTTTCAATATTTCTCCTTTTTTGATATGCTGTTCAAAATTCTGTTGTACGCATTGTATTGATCCCGAGCAACGTTCAATGTTCGTCACTGCGGCATGCCTGTCACACGTCGACCAATCAAGGTTGTTGTTTCGAAGAGAAAAGAGGCGCCAAAGAGAAACGAAGTGTCAGCCAATTCATCTAAAGCTAATCAGGTTATTGAGAATGGAATGTGGATTCATCAGGATGACAACGACAGAGTTGTTAGACGCTATCCAGGACTGTCTGGTGAGATGTTCAAGGCTGTCCTAAGATACCTGCGGAAATGGCAAATGGCAGATGACACCGAAATGGAGAAAAGAGGGCGATATGTTGTGTTTTTGTGCATGGATTGATGTAATCTGCAGGTAACCTTGAGTCTTTAAAAAGGTAACGTGACCTGGAGGATGAAAAAAGTAGTATTCTCGATGTTTCTGGTCTTGAGTGTAGACCGATGAAGGTGAAGCGGAAGATGACACAAGACTAGGATTTGGACGATAAAGGTATGGCTTCCGACCTAGTGCACGATGACCTTTCAGAGGCTAAAGAAAGTGAAGAGGAGCCTGGAGAACAGGGGCAAGAGGAGCGCGAGTTGAATGATGTAGATTTGGGACCCAACAATATTCCAGGTGATAATGCTTGAAGTGGAAATGAGGGACTAAGAGCGATCCAGATCAGACAAGAAATTCGTAGTACGGAACAGCTGGGTCGCAATTTTTGAGAAATTTCGCAACAACACGTAGATGAGCTCCCTTGTCTACCACGTGGTTGACCGAAGAACCGTACTAGAGGATACGGTTTATGAAGTGCGCCCTTTGTGAGACTATAGGAATCCACTACTCATATTTCTGTATTGCTCTTTGCGCCCCTTACGCAAGCAGAGAACTGATGGCAGGTGCTGGTCGATGCCTCGAAAGATGTGCTCCAGCGACCCACTGCATAAAATATCTCACTCCATGCTGTCATTGTAGCGAACGAGGTCACCATAGTTCGTTCTGCGAGTTCCCGGGCCAGAGTGAATATATTCGAACACCTTTGGAAAACGCACGTAACGTACGTAAAGGGGGATAAGAAGCTTGGACAAGCTACATGATCTTCCGCGTGAACTGGCCTACCTTGGAGTTGACCATTAACTCAGTGCACCACATTCAAAGTCCTGATTTTTGGCTACACCTTAGTGCGCCTTTATGCTTTCGGACGGAGTATCGCGGTTGTTAAACGGCGATCACAGTTTTTTTGTCATGTGTGTTTCTCATTGTGTGGCAAATATCGGATTTGCGCCCGTTTATGATCTCTGGATTCGAAGATGGGTATTTGTAGCCACGGAGCCGCTCCTAGTTCACTGTCTGTCTTCAACAACTCACAACACAACACTTCACTGTCTTGTTTTTGTCTTTTTCTATAGAAGTCTGCAGGTACTTTATCAGGTGACATCGAATTTCTGTGCAAACAGACAGACGCGAGTGCTTTATATATAAAATGAAGATAGTTTTCCCTAATGATTTTATCGGTTCAATCAGCCAAGCTTGAGGTACGCTAATAAAGTTGTTTTGGACGGTGTTGCCTTGGTGCATTTATAACGCGTGGGAGCGGACATTAACGATCTCTGCAATGTAAATTTATGAAGATATATATTTATATTCCTCTTCAACGTGGCTAATATCTTATTGCATTTGAACTCAAACTCAACTGTCCAAGAGCGCTTCGGCGCTCGAGCGGGTAAACTACAGATTAGAGCTACAGATCTACGAACTAGCTCCATGTCCTTGACGACGAAGAATGTTCGAAATGTCGACCAAATGAAGCAGTTTTCCATCAATAATATCAAAAATCTATGCGGCAGAGCAATTTAAGTGTAAGCTCATAAATGTCTGGTTCATCTGTTAAGTGTCTGTCTGAAGTCTGGCTCTATTGTGGCAGCACTTTGCTTTCATTATCATCCAATCGGTATTTCTGTTAAATAGTTTCTCTAACTTTACTTGAAGTACAGCGCTATATTGAACTATGCAATAGGGTTTTAGAACGAGAGAGGAGGAATCTTGCATCCTAATGTCATCTCACTAACTCCTCTACTAACACGCAAGGTGGCTCGAGACTGCTACCCCTCCCCTTCGAGCACTGAGCCAAAGAATATTCAAAATTGGGCTTAAATAGCTTAATTTCTGAGCGGGCCTAGATGGCCTAATCTTTCTAAGAATTCCAGATCATGCCCGGCAATTTTTCACATTCATCTGTTCACTTTTGAACCTTTTCTGACTGCTGTTCTATTATACCCGGCTGTCGTCATACGCACAGAATTTCAACCTCAATCGCAGATCGCGTGCTGATTCGAACAATTGTACTAAGTCATTTTCGGCTATAATGTGATAAATTTTATGTTTCGATCGTTGGCACAGTAGTTTTGGTGATCTACTTTGAGTGTTTATTTGGTGAAGCTCGGCTCTTTAACATTGAGCCATTAATGTTGGCGAGTCTAAAGACGCCTAAAAAGTATAAGAAATTGAAAAATCTCAGTGATGTGTTAAATGGTGGGTGCTGACTAGGCAAAGCACGGGAATCCATTTTGCATTTTCAAAAATGAAATGTTGCCTAACAGGGATGGCAATGCGTGGGCATAACTTCGGCTTTGCACGAGATTCGAACCCGTACTTGTGCTTTTCGGGCACCCCGTGTACGGGTTCGAGTTTCGTCAGAGGCCTAAGTTTTGCCCGCAAATGGCCATCCTTGTAAGACTTTCGTAGCGAAATAACAGCAGTTAACAAGGAGCTCTTGTATTCTTGAAGTTCTTACTGAGATACCTTAAGAATCCACTTTGTTACTAGGAAATCTAATATTTCTTCAGAATACAGAAGGAGAGGTCAGAACACTAACGAAAAAAGCATTTCAAAAGGAATATCAATTCAGATTTCTGCAAAGCTTTTCGTTTGGCCGTTAATTTTCTTGTGAAATTCCGGTAAAGGGTAAAGGGGCTCTTCATGTAAAGATCACAAACTTCACTGAACTATACTGAACGTGCAGTCAGTAAATTCTTTTGCACATGGATGTATATATGAAGGCATGAGCATATTGCGACATTGTGTTATGGTTCTTAAGTTCTAGAGGCTAATGCCACACTATTATCNTATTTCTTCAGAATACAGAAGGAGAGGTCAGAACACTAACGAAAAAAGCATTTCAAAAGGAATATCAATTCAGATCTCTGCAAAGCTTTCCGCTTGGCCGTTAGTTTTCTTGTGAAATTCCGGTAAAGGGTAAAGGGGCTCTTAATGTAAAGAGAATTTTTCACAAACTTCACTGAACTATACTGAACGTGCAGTCAGTAAATTCTTTTGCACATGGATGTATTTATGAAGGCATGAGCATATTGCGACATTGTGTTATGGTTCTTAAGTTCTAGAGGCTAATGCCGCACTATTATCAACAGAAAATTATTATACAGGTTTATGATGAATGCGAAAACGGGGCCAACTGAACAGGATAACAGATTCGTCCGTCTCTAGTGGTCCACTCAGAAAAATATGTAAATGTCTACGGAAAACCGTCATACCTATTTTTGACTTCCAACCTCTTTCAGAACTGGCCTCCTCCATTCTTTTCATTTCTGCTTGTGCCTCTTTACTCATTTTCACATGAATAAATTGCCTCTTTGCTCCTTTTCTTCCTATAAATAGTTAGAAATATGGAAGAAGCAACCGTCTTATCGTGGTCGTCATTCCCTATCCTTCAGCTTTCGTCATTAGGCCTATATATGAGGTACGGTATGCGCTGAAATGTGAGAAAGACGTTTACATTACCCCTGAAAGATTCTAAAGAAGAGTTCAACGAGTAAAAGTATAGTCTCTGTATGTTGCTACCAGATTCCATGCAGAAAACCTTCTATTCAACACATTCTTCTAATGATATTTGCTGGCAATGCCCTGTCGATATGAAAAGCTTGCCGAAGTTTCATTCGAATAAAACTATGAGATTTACTACTATGGACTATGAGTTTTTATGCCTACTTCACTGTTTTCCTTATACTAAGGCGTGAAACCTTACCTCTTTTATCTTCTTCGCTCCGTGCTTTTTCGTTTTTTCGACCTGGCGCTGATTTAATCAATATAAATCAGTTTTAACAGAAACCAGTTCAACACACTCATCTTTCCTCACATTATACGTGCTTTACCTGCATTTTGCTTTTGCTTCTCTACCAGCGAATCTTCTAAAGAAGAGAGATAATCATACACACCTTCCTGACGTTTCTTCAATGTCTCAGCAGATGATATAATTTTACCTTCAGCCGAATTGGACCGCTCCGTCGGAACTGGAAGATGCAATAGCAGGATCTCGAAAGGTAAAACGGCTCAAGTAGTTATGTAATTCAGTTTATGCTACATTTTGTAAGCTCTATGTCTGTCTTTGCTTGGCGGGTGGTGAGGATGATACGAAAGTGGAGGAGAGAAGATCACCATGGTGGAGTCAACATGCTATGACTATGATTACTCATTGTCATCTACATGTATATATAACACGCTAAGTGTGTTTTTTGGTTTGTCTACGTGTTTTCTATATGCGTATGTATGTATATGTGTGTACCTGTCGGTGCGTGTTTGACCGGAAAAATCATAACTCCTGTTCCCGTGAACCTAGAGCGATCCAATTCGCTTAGAATACAATCNATATGACTATGATTACTCATTGTCATCTACATGTATATATAACACGCTAAGTGTGTTTTTCGGTTTGTCTACGTGTTTTCTATATGCGTATGTATGTATATGTGTGTTTGACTGGAAAAATCATAACTCCTGTTCCCGTGAACCTAGAGCGATCCAATTCGCTTAGAATACAATCGGTATGGTCAGGATACAAGTGGCAGGTGATAGAAAGTGGCTGAGCTGAACAATCACTGAAGGAAAATCTCCAGCCACCCAAGAATTCCGCTCCCGAATCTGCACAATGCATTGTACAATTAACCCACCGTAGGTAATCATTTCTAACACCTTTGGATACAACTCTTATTCAGACTCGAGAGAGTAATTGACTTCTTTGATGCAAAAGCAGGTATAAAGGCTGGGGGGAATCAGGCTGTTCCGGCTCACTATAAAAGTAGGTTTCATGAACTATCAAAAAATTTTACGATTACGATCTCGCCAATCCACAAAGGAAGAACACCATCGAGGATCTGATCAGAAGGGCAATAACATGTTGCCCAGATTTTTTGGAACAATAGAGACGTTTGATCATATAATCTCACTTGTTACGACCTTTGGAGAAGGCGATTTCGCCAAAACGTCAGCCTAATGAAGCTTATATGTAAAACCGCCTGAAGAGTTCGAGGAAAGATCTCAGCAATACAGCAGTTATGGCTATTCTCATGAAAAGCCGCACGTGAAAATTACATCGTCTATGAAGATCTTCCAATAAGTCTGATTGTGAATAAAGACTCATCACTGGTGGGCGGGCGTGGTCAAGGAAACGCACTAGATCGATCCCAAGTTCGGAGACCAGAAAATAATTGATAGGCACAAACCACAATTTTGTCTCTTGAGTTAACAGTGTGTTCAGTGAACAGGTGAGCAGCAACCGCGTACTAGGGTCAAGAGATGGCCCAAATGACCAGGGGTCGTTTTGGGACAATGGACACAGACCATTCTTGGGCCA